ACACCTCCTACTTAGCTACAACATGGCTATTAGTTTGGAAGCTAGCACCTATATATTGAAAGGGAGGAGAGGCATCTGGATACTCGATCTTTTAAACTGTGGTGGTGGCGGCATGTATGTGCTATAGCTTATTCTGACATAGCTGAATACTGCATTCAGTCATTAACTTATATCTTATGGTGGCTATGGCGATCTTGGAATCTGTTGCTTTTTGAACATGTGTGGATGCCAGAAGAGTAGTGGTCAAAGGGGCTTGGAGAGATTGACAAGAGTATGCAGCTTCAAAGAGAGGCATATTGGTAGTTTTGTGTTCTTTTTCTCTATTTTTCTGTTTAGTTAGTATTCTTTAGGTGGTTGCATGTGTTGTGTTTTTCTGGTTTATTGGTTGTTAAATGGTTGATTGTGTTATGTTTTCTAGTTTGTGGCTGTTAGTATAATGGAAGGTCTCGGTGGTTGCTTCCCCGATTTTTCTCTTGTAGCCTTGTTCTTGTTTCTAGATCACTCTTTGAGTAAGTCTCCCATTGTAATTGTTTGTGGTCTTGTTCAAACTTTGTTCGGTTTTTTCAGTTATTAATATTATCATCGATCGTTTGGAAAACAAAATTGATATACTTGGAATCTGATGGCTCTGCTTGGTTTAACTGCTTGGGAATGACTCGCTTTGTTTCGTGTTATGTTTGTTTTGTTTTGTTTATTTTTGGTCTATTTTGTAAGACCGTGTTTTTGGTGGGTTGTATGCCTCTATTTTCACCCGAGCGTTATTATCCTTTTTGGATCGATTCTCACTCGAGTATTATCTTTTGGGATCGTTTAGTCTCCTGTTTGGGAGTTAGTGGTAGTTTTTGTTTTGTAGCGTTGTGTTTGTATTTTCTAGCGTTGCTAGATCCGACTCTAGGCGATCTTCGGGTCTGTCTCCCAATCAATTTAGCCGTTGGTTGTATCATTCAGCCTTTGACTGATTTTCTTTTTCGCACTTTGTGTGTTTTATAAAACTCTATCGTTTCGAAAAAAAAAATAACGTGTTTCTTGATAGTTATATATTGACATAAGGAACTCCTGAAAAGATAGATGCCAAAATGGTTGATTGTGTTATGTTTTCTAGTTTGTGGCTGTTAGTATAATGGAAGGTCCCGGTGGTTGTTTCCCCGATTTTTCTCTTGTAGCCTTTTGTTCTTGTTTCTAGATCACTCTTTGAGTGAGTCTCTCATTGTAGTTGTTTGTGGTCTTGTTAAAACTTTGTTCAGTTTTTTCAGTTATTAATATTATCATCTATCGATTGATTTTTTTTTTTTTTTGATATACTTAGCATATGATGGCTCTACTTGGTTTAGATGCTTGGGAAGGGCTCGCTTTGTTTCGTGTTATGTTTGTTTTGTTTATTTTTGGTCTATTTTGTAAGATTGTGTTTTTGGTTTGGGCTGTAGGCCTCTGTTTTCACCCGAGCGAGAGCGTTATTATCCTGTTGGGATCAGTTCCCACTCGGGTATTATCTTTTGAGATCGTTTAGTCTCTTGTTTGGGAGTTAGTGGTAGTTTTTGTTTTGTAGCGTTGTGTTTGTATTTTTTAGCGTTGCTAGGTCCGACTCTAGGCGATCTTCGGGTCTGTCTCCCAGTCTATTCAGTTGTTAGTTATATCATTCAGCCTTTGGCTGGTTTTCTTTTCGCACTTTGTGCATTTTATAAAACTAGTAATCCCCCGTGCGATGCACGGGAAAATTATAATTTATGTGCTTTTTCGAAGGTAATTTGTATATAGCCATAATAAAATTGAAAAGACATGATTGCTAATAATAATAATAATAATAATAATAATAATAATAATAGTAATAATAAAAATAATAATAATAATAATCAACTACAATAACATTTGTTTAATTGGATATAAAATAAAAAAAAAATGTTATAGGTACATAATATTGTACATACAGACGTAAATAGCACTCATATTGAGTGAGGCCCAGCAAAAATAAAAAATCAAGTGGGCCCAATTCCATATGAGTATTATGTACACATATATGTACATTTATTATATAGTTGTAGCATTTTCCATAAAATATATCAAGTATTGGACTATGTTCCATAACATCGACACTAATTAAACAAACATTAGGCCATAAGTCCGGATTTTCAGGATTTTCATTTCATTTTTTTCCTCTCCTTCCCCGACCAATTCTCTATGTCGTGTCGGTCGTCTCTTTATTTTATTTTTTATTTTTTTTTTACCTGCGGAAAATGAATGTTTCTAAACAAATCGATCACATATATTGTGATTCGTACATTTATGTTTACATTAATTTAAAATAAGAATTTGAACAAATTATGTTTTAATTATAAGATAAGTCCAAATGATTTGAAAATAATTAATTAGTTAAGTCGTTAAGATTTTTTATCCGTGTAGAAAGATGACCAATTAGTACACATGTGTCATAATTAAACGTTATTTTAAGTTTTTTTGAATAATTGTGATTTGATGATAAGATAAGTTAAAATGATTTAGATAATTAATCAATTGATTGAGTTGTTTAGATTTTATAACGTGTTTTAACTTGCTCATTACACGTGTTTCCTCATTAACTCAATTTATGTTAGTACTATAGCATGATAAACTATATTATTATATTATTAAATGTCAAATATTAAGGATTCTTATACTAATTATATATGTTGTTTAAACTTGCTTCAATTATGATAACCGAGGTAATGTACACGTCTTGTATAAATTATGATAATATAAGTGTACATGAACTGTATTATAAATTATTGGTTTATTTGTTTAGAAGTTTAAATAATGTAGAAACTTTATGATAAGATTGGTGTGGAATTTTCATACATGCAATTCTAATGTGGTCCTAAAATATTTGATTTTCTGTTACAATTTCTATCAATTGTTGGGTCGACTCAAATATCAATTTTTTAATTAATTTGTTTTGAAGTTCGATTATTATGGCTCTTACCCTTATCTTTGAAAATTTGAAAATTTGAAAAGCCTTATCTTAGGTTTTATTATGGTCCTTATCCATTGTTTTTAATAGTCTAAATATAGAAAGTCAATTTATTTATTTATTTGGTCAAAGTTTCTAAAAATGAATTTTCCAACAACCTCTTTATATAAATATATAGATATATAGATATAGATCTCTATCGTTTTGAAAAAAAAAAATGTGTTTCTTGATAGTTATATATTGACA